TAAAAGATTTAAATGTCGAAAAAAAACTCTATAAAATAGCTATCTCCAATTTTATCGAAAATAATAAAAATAAAGTAATTTTTTAGTTTATTTTACCAAAATAAAAATTTAATTAAAATAGAAATATTTGTAGTTCTTATCCCTACTAGTAATACACAAAAAAACAAAACTGAATTACCTTTATTACCTCAGGAGATATTGCAATGGGTATATCTTCGTGAGACGCCCTGTATATTTGATTTGTATTAGTATAATTGCGTTTAGTATTTAGTGACCTCTCGTGTATAGTTTTACATAATTAGGATTCGTTACTGAGTCCTGAGTCGGCATGTTTATATCAAATGTTTGTCAATCGTGCCGAATACAATTAAACCATCCGCAATCAGACGCATTATTAGAATGTTCATAAAAAATAAATGTTCGTTCATGGGTTTAAGTTCATTAAAAATTAATTTCACTATTAATTTTTACTAACTTAACATTGTCGCAGTGATTTGATCAAATATTATATTAGGTATAAAGAGTATACTGTATGTATAGAGTATAATGTACTTATTATTTTATATAATGTCACAATAGCATTTGATATTTTTGTATTTCTGACAAAATTGCCTAAATTAATTTCCTCAATTCAAAATTCGGAATCAGTATTAAAACCAACGATTCAATTAAAATTAGTGTTAATTGAAAATATGAAACAATTGTGATTATGATGATAATTTTGGTAAATCTCTCATTAGTTTTTTGAACAATTTGACAAGTATGACAATATAATGTAAAAGCAATGATTAATTCATAATATACTACATACAATCTAATTAAATCTGTATTAAATATATTCGTATCACTTATTTAAAAATATATCTATTATCTTTAAAATGTGAAACTAATCAATGATCGATGGAGGGTACACCGCGGATATCAATGAGATCAAAAGTTAACTTAACTTTTTTGCGTTAACTTAATATACAACAAGTTAATTTTGAATTATACCACGTTAAGTTAATATCAATTCTTTTTAATTTTATCACAATATTAAATTTACAATCCATACACTTTATCGAATATTTTTTTTTTTTTTGTAGGTTGAGCTGATGAATCGTGAATATAGATTCCAAGTGAGCACATGAGCCACAATGTTTTACTTTGAACGATCTTATTTTTAAGAAGTCGCAAACTGTATGTTTGATCATCGTTGTCAATATTATGGCAATAACAAAATTGACAGAAAAATTAATAATTGTATTAAATGTTCAAATATTAACTTTTAGCTTAAATTAATTAACTAATAAACCGATAAACGTGTTAAGTCCCTTGGAGAAATGGTGACCAAACTTTGTTCCATAATCCTTTATATAATGCTACCACCTCAGGTTATGAAGTAGAGGAAGAAAAATAATAAAATGTTTTTTCCGTTATCTTGTAGTAATATCAATTAAATTTAAACAAATAAATACTGGTTTTTTTTTAAACAATTAGTCTTCACAAGATTGTAATTTACAATGAATAAATAAGAACTATCTGCAAACTAAAAAAAAAAAAAAAAAAAAAAATGTTTATGGGTTTTTTTCAATAATTTCGACTTATACAAGTTAATATTATTAATTAACTTGCCCGGTATTCGAAATAATTATATAGCATTAAATAATACCATAATGTTTTGTGCTACCTATTATATCTTACGTGATTTTTTAATTGCAGCACTATTGCACGAACGCCGATAATCTTATAAATACTACGTCTTTAAATCCTAACTTTTAAGTTTGATATAATTTTTACGCCAAGGAGGAGACGGTATTGTTTGTGAATAAAATATTGTGCCGGGAGTGTATCATCATCGTAATATTATTACTCGTATAATATCCTTTCCGAAACGTTCGGTACTTTCATTTATTACATGCACAACATTATATTATAATAAAATTGCTTTTCTAACTGCAGTATAGGTATGGCTCCTCATCATTTAATGTTAGAAAGTCAACAGGTACCTACGTTAAATTATATTATAAAACAATTTAATCGTAAGTCAAAAATGTATCATTGCAAACATATTTATAATTTCGTAAGGAAATTATTGGCCGTATTCACTTGCACTTTCATGCAGTTACGATGCATGTATGATTACCAGTTTCAAATTGTTATTCTCATTTGCTGCGTGATTTCAACATTGTATTTTTTAATTTTGATTTATGTTTTTTTCGATTAAATCATTTTCATTTGCAGTGGCCAAGGGGAAAGGGATTCTAACCGCCAGATTAATGTATGATATTTTCGTGAAACGTATTAGTAATACTATACATCCTTTCATCATTATTGTATTGTAGTTTCTAACATTTGTTTGCGATATTGTATAATTTAGTCGTGTTTTTCCATTGTTGGAATATTACTGAAAAAATCCAAATTCAACAAAAATAAAAAGATCTAGGGGTTAACTATAAATTAATCTTTCAGCAAAAGTACCGCAACGAAAAAATTCTCAATTTATTGATGTACTATGTGTAAAAATCACAAAATAATTTTCTTAACCGACATATTCAGGATATATTAGCTCTAGACAAACCTATGGTATAGGTTCTACCATGGGTACAGTATTTAATTCCGGTTGAATTTGTTTTACTTTTGCTTATTAGCTATTTTGATGTTATCCCATAGGTTCACAGGAATATTAACTAGAAAAATTACAAAATGAGGAGGGGAAAAAAAAAATCACCCACTCCTTAAAATAAAACTACTTGTGATATATATGTGTATGATTTAAATATACAGGGTATAACAAGACTATCTGACATTTTTATATTGTAGTTATATGTAAAAATGTCAAATAGTCCTGATACACTCTCTATACCATATAATATATATTTATAACCAATGGTTTTTAACAAATGTGCCGTGACACGAAAAATATGTTTTCGTTGAAGAAAAATTTGTTCATGACTGAGATATGTATAGTGAAAATTCTGTGTAGAGTAAAATGTGCTGTGTTCTAAAAAATATTAAAAACCACTGATGTATATAGGTATATATATAGGTACAGTGGCGTAGTCAAAAGGGAGATTTTGGATGTTGTAACCTTTCCATTTTTTTTTAGATATAGATAAAGCTAAGAAGGTTGTAGACCCCTAAATCCCCCCAAATTGATAAATCTTAACTACGCCACTACATAGGTATGCATAATATAATAATATATGTTACTTTTAACATCTATAACGTTGCAAATCAGATATTTTCGAAATTTTAATTTTTAAACGAAATTCAAACATTTTTAAATTGTAACATTTTATATTCTCGGGTTAGATATGATAATTCAAAAAAATCAACGAACAGACACAGATAATATTTGCACCTTTAAGTTCGACAAAAGACCATTTCATTCAAATATTAAAATTAACAGCACAAAATACTTACTGAACAAAAATTGACAATATCCAATTTTCAACGTCACTCGTGATATACTAACATGAACTATATATATTGTCTAAATGGTTTTCCTGGGCCGAAAATGTCAGCCCGTGGCCTTGCTAAAATGTGATTATATTTTCTCAGAAAACACTTTTCGGTTAAGAATACTCAGATTTTTCCCAATAGATGCGATTTTCCGCCCGATAGTATTTATTTATTTGAATCTTTTTCTTTTTTTCTAACGTCCTATTTCTTTCCCGATTTTTCCATATTTTCCAACTGCGACAGTGACTTACTCGAGGTGCGGAGTATGTCGGGCTTAATTTGGTATACTATCGTAATTATGTTAAATCGTTGTATGCGTTTCCATACGACAATATTTACAATATTTTAATAGCTGTAAATATAATAAATCAGCTTTTTTTTAAATTATGTTAACATTGACACGTTTCGATTCCTGCTGTGTAATCTGCAGTTTGCGAAATATAACACGATTTCGTAATAATTTATATTCGTGATATTATGGTAATCGAGTTGATTATTACCTTGCCTCCGATGAGTGTAATGTTCGAAACTGACAAATTGATGAAAATCGTTATTTCAAAATAACAAATTTGTCTAAAACCGTCAACGTACATTTAATAATCAAAATTTTAAAAAATCACCTAGTTTTAACTTTTTTTTTTTTAGCTTCTGCAATGATTGTTTTGTTACTAATTATCGGTGTGGCACCATTTTCATAAAATTATTTCCACACATTTTTTTTTAAGCATGGAGAATATTAAACTATATTTATTTTAGACTATATTATTTTATGATTTCGTATTGGTAAAAGTATGTAGTATGTGTAATACGGGTATACAATACTAACGAGAACAAATACGTACTGTCCAATAATTTTATGACTATATTTAATAAAAACGACGAAAGATTCGTAAAGGACGTAACGGCATTTTGAAAACGATTTACTAGACGTGTTATAGGAAAGTGTGGGGACGGGAACGCGTGTTACTAACGAAAAGATATGTCAGTTATTATTATTATTATTATTATTTTTTTTTAAATTTATGTTTGCTTATATTTTATTTTTTTTTGAAATTTACAAATATTTTATTCAATTCCCTCGTTCCTATAACGACGGTGACCCGTCGACCTATTGCGAAATATTAATTTATTGTGGAAATGAGAATGTATTCAAATATTGAATTCATACGTATATTACTTAATGTACCTAATTTATACATTGTATACAATGTAAACTTCTTGTAAAACTCGTGAAGTAGGTAACAACGATGGCATTGCACAAACCGAACAATATTTATTATTGGGACAAGCAACCCAATTTTCAATAGTCGTTCTCCTCATTTATCCCACGCCTCCCAATACCCTTCGCCGTTTCTCCGTTTGCGCTACGCACGCGATGTCCTCGTCATAATCGCAATCATAATAATAGTAATAATATCCAATCGGCTTTTTCTCTCTTTTTTTTTCTCTACCGCTCCGCAATAACAGTACGCCTGTACTACGAGAAAAAAATATCGTCACTCCGCATGCTTTGCGGGGGTGATAAGGGAACGGTTATTGCGGGGCTTCGATAGATTTAATTAAAAACACGTTTTTTTTATCAAAACATACACGTTTATAATATATACTCAAACAAACATATTATACAGTTACATGGCAATAACATAACAAACAACGGTATATGTATACACGCGTACGCGACTTATCGTCGACGGGCAATGGTATTGAGAATAATGATGGAAAAATTTACATTTATATATATAAAAAAATTAAAAAATTAAAGATATTCGTGTAAAAAAAATGGGGTGAATATGGGAAGTATCATAATATTATACATATAGACGACAGTGGCAGTCGTGCAGAACTGCAGTGCGGTCTGACGGAATGATATGATGGAGTCGACGTGTGGAATTATATTACATAGCGCTCACTGGTACACGGGTTCGGGTGTGCTGGGCAGGGAAGCCAACAGCTTTAGAGACTCTTGGATTTCGACTGGAATTGGCGGGGGAACGGGTAAGTGGGAGCCCACCGGTCGGTAACCGTTCTCGTCAGCGACGTAACCGGTGTTGATGACCGAGCCATCCGGAGCCACGTACGACGAGGATCCCTGGACCACGGAGATCGGGGTGCCGGACGGACCAGCCTTCAGGTAACCGACTTCGTCTTGTTTGATTCCGTTCTCGGTTTCGAACCTGCGAAAAGAAGACGGAAAAACGTAAAATAAATTACAACCGTATACCAACGGCGGTTTTAAAAGTCGTATATTATTATCTAATCTAAGCGAAGTGATCTTTTTTTTTTAACAGTCAGCGTGATAAATAATAATGAACGCGTGTCGTAACAATTTTAGCAGCCATAATCGCCGGACGATTTACCCGGACCGTGCCTAAACACATAAATAAGCATACTCAATGGCCGTCGGTAAGTTTTCGGTGAAAGGCCCGAGAAAAACGTAATGAAACGATAGATAAGGTAGGGGGATGGGGGGGGGGGTTGTGAGAAAGAAAAACGACGAGCGATTCGACCGAATAACAAACTGGAAAGGCAAGTGAGGATATTTTACTGTCTGTTGCGCTGAACGTTTTTTTTTTTCGGTATCCGTGCCGGCGCGCGTCGATCGCGTAAACCGAACACCTCGCGAATCTCGGCTCGACCTAATCGCCCGCCGCCGCTCTTCTGTTACGGCGCGAAATCGTTCGGCGTGTTCGATTATCTCATACCGAAAACACCATCGTCGGCTAACGCATTATTATTATTATTATTATTATTATTATTATTATGCTTTCTCGTGCCGTCCGAACGAAATCGAAAACATGTAACCTCGTCGTCGTTACGTAAACGGCCGGGAGAAAAAAAATAAAACCTAAAATTTCAACCGCACGGCTGTTAACGCGTACTGGACTCCGAACGAAATTCATGAAACGAAAAACCGTTGCAGACTATTGCGGTACAGGTACTATTGCGTTGAGCATTATTGGTATTGGCGGAACGCGAGACGGATAAAATAATGTGCGACGACGTCCGCGGATACCTATTTTACTGTAGCCCGAGAGAATCGCGCAGGGTCATAGATTCGGGGTTAATCACGAAGTGAATACGGCGCGTACTTGTTTTTGTATGTTCCGTCGTAGTTGACTTCGGTATCTTGGCGGAGGATCGCGGCTCTGGACTCCGGGCTTTGCGGGAATGCGCTGACTGCGGCGGCCGCCAACAGCAACGAGGAGAGTACCAACGTGACCTGTTGTGCGAAAATGTTTACAGATGAATAATAAGGTATAACGGTATGTAATAATACCGCGGGACAAAGCCGGCGGAAAATGAAAACGAAAAAATTAAAGTAAAAGTGACTCTTACTTGCATTTCGACGGAGTGGTTGTCTGTGGTTGTTGTTCGTACAGCGACTACTGATTGTACCGAGTGGGTAAAACGTGTGTGTGCGTTGTGAGGATACCGCTGAAAAGATCTTATATATATACGGGAATCCGCGGCCGGCACGTGGTGTGCTATCTGTCCGTAAAATTACGGGGGGGTACCTATTATATTAGGTATATTGGTATATACCCACCAGTTTAGCGGCGTATATAGGTAATAATGATAATAATGGTGGAGGCGGTACCGATGCCGTCGAGATGGAAAGGTCGTTATGTCAGTGGGTTACGAAAGCGGTCCGACGACATTTTAATTTTTTTTTTTTTACCGGCGGAGGTTGTGATAAACACGTTTCGATGGGACTGTGCTGTTCGTGTATAATAAGCATACGAACACACACACGCCCGAAAAACAAAAATGATTATAACACAGAATGCGTTTTCGTCCGGCTAATTATCGCGTTCGGTAGATTAATAATATCAAGGCGGCCCTAAGATGGCCGACGTAATATGCCCTGGAAATCTGGTAGATATAATAATATGTACTGGACGTGTCCTTGAAATATGCTCCGAAAAATATATACCTGTACGGAAAGTTTTGATAATATTTCAGCTTATAAGTGTTCGTATATAAAAAGTTCGTATTCGATATATTCTAACGCCTATGTTACTTTTATTCATTCGGTCTTATGAATGTATAAATGTCGCTTTTTTTTTCTATATTTTCTGATCCATTAACTGTAAAAAAAAATGTTCGAAACATTTTTCTAGAGCGATGTAGGGAGGAGAAAAAAAATCTAATTTTGTACGCTATAGAGAGATTATTGTTATTATATGTAATTCTCATCTGATGTGTACCTATGTCGCCTTAAAAATATACTGAATCTACAGAAATATGCCACAAAAATCTAAAAATAATATGCTACATACAATTCCTTATAGATAATAAACATTACAGAACAGTCATTAGTATAAACGAGCTATATTTTTTTTTCTTGTTTTTTTTTTTTTTATCAACACTTGCAATAAAAAAAAAAAATCATTTTATAAAATATTTGTTTTCGAAACAACGAAACAAATTAATTCGAATTTACATTTACTTAAAAAAAAAAACATTGAAAAATATATACTTCGCACCGCTGTTGTAGGGTGTTAATATTGAATTTAGGATACCTATACAGGAAACTTTAGCCTATAATTTCGTTTAGTTTAACAAAAAAACGATTTCGAGCGAAGATTAATTGTTTTAATATTTTCAAAGTCTCGATAAACTTAAATCGAATATTTTATTTTAAAAAATTATTAAAAAGAACTATTGGAGAAATCGAAGAAACTGACCTCCTCGATGCACCAACTGGAAAACATTTTCTACCAGAAACTATCCCTGAAATCGATGATCAGCGCAAAATTTCTGATAGAAAAATACACAACATATAATATAGTAAAACCGTATTATACACTCCTTGCTATTGTCAAAATATAAAGAAATAATCATAAGAAAATCCAGAAACAAAACAGAATATTGTTATGTAAGGTTTTTTTTAAACGTATTATTTTAAACAAATACGTTTTAATTGATTAAATTCTTAGTTAAAAAGTATCTATAATAGCTCTTCAACAAAGAACTTACAGATTAGTTTTTAATTTTCAGTTAATGTATTAGACAAGCATAACGTGCCAACATAAAAATATTGATTGTATTTCTCCTAAACTATACTCTTCAAAAGCGTACTCACGTTCACCCTGTATCGAATACTATTTTATTTTATATAAAGGGCAAAAAAAGGAACGGCCTCGCCTATAATTTTCCTATCGCAATCACTGAACACAATAACGTTTACAGAATGAATGCTAATTTTAAAAAAAAGGTGATACTGGGGATGGGAGTGGCCACTGTTATAGGTGAAAAGTTGGGAAGGTAAGATACATAAGGTTATTTTATTTACATCTGTAAGGTTAGGTATAAACCTAAACGATAAACCATTGCTTAATGAAAGATGATTCCGAGCATAGTTCGGTAATACATATTTTGATGTGTCGTAATTTTGTTTGCGATTTTCGTTCAAATTTGATTTCAAAACGCTTATTAAAAACAAATAATAAAAATAATGAAATCCTACGTTTTTTCCCACTTAAGTGCTTTTATTTAAAAAATGGCTTCGAAAATCAAAAAATTTCCTGTTTAAAGTAAAATCTAGAAAACTTGAGCTTTTGGAATGATTGCTACACGTAAAATCGGAGCAAGTTTACTAGGAATAAACGTATCCACAGACTAGAAAAAGAACAAGAACAAAGAAATAAACAGCATTGTAAAACCAATAGCTCCCTCGTTACGTTCGGAATCTAACAATGTTAAGACGGATTTTGTTCAAAACATAGCGTTAAACGGTTTAAAAAAAATAATATGTTTGCATACTAAATATTTTTAAGCTTAAAATAAACAAACAACAATAAATCATGACAACATGTTATGTTTTGCTATTGCACCTGTATATTTTTCTGTCGATGTATATCAATGCCTCCCCTAAGTCTCTACACTTTTGATTTTCAAAAGGTTTGCCTGGCCACTTCAGGGCTAACGGGCCGAGCCAACAGTGACGATTAAAATAAAATATTCTAAATATTCGCCCTCCCCTCCCCCCAAATCAAAAACGGCACCACTACAAATCCGATATTTTACGAATTTTTGAGTGCGTCAATAAAATACAGATTAAATAACATTCCAAATCCATTAAAAAACAGAATCAAGATTTTCACCCAACAATGGAAATATTTTTGCTCATTGAAAATCTAATAGAAATACAAGATTTACACGCATAACTTCAGCAATTTTACTCACCATATTAAGAAATTGCAATTTTTTTTTTCTGAAATATTAACCACGAGTTATTTACACACTTTTATATTCCGAATACATCATTATATATCAGTAGTATGGTATAAGGATTGTTTAGTGCGTGCAGCACGACATATAATGTAAATGTATTATTTTGTATAGTCGTATAGGTACATATACAAGGTGTCCCATGAAGATATATCCATTGTAATATCTCTGGAGATAATATAGATAGTCAAATTCGGGTTTTTTTTTTTATATTATTTCAGGGATTATAACTATAAATATGTATATTTAAATAAAAAATTTACACTTTGGTAAAAAACCTTAAAAAAGAATAACTCTTTATTGTATAATTTTTGGAAAATTTGAAAACAGCCATTTTATAGTTAATTATTTCTGACCATTTTGACGTATCAATTTTTTATTTTCATTAAATGCGTGATTTTTAGTAATTTTCAAAAATTCAACTAAAAGCACCTATAATTATGTAACAGGCTGTAATCGCATTCGCTAATTAATTATTATTGTCACAACTTATTGACTGTTGGTACCTAACTGTAGGTACATTTTTTTTCTCTGAACTTTAATTTTTTTTTAATAAACACGAATTTAATGAAAGTAAAAGTTGATAGTCAAAATTTCTAGAAAAAATAAACCTTATAAAATATTTTAGCCATTTTTAAGCTATCTATTTATATACATTTTAATTAAGCGAATATTTTACGTAACTTTTATTTGGTAGGTATTTTCTGTAGATAAAATTGTTAGACCAAACAAAACTGCTTGAAAATCTTAAAATTTAAAAATCTTCCAGTTTTTTAAAAATAATAACATAAAGTTGTTTTTCTAAGTTTTTTTCATATTAAATGAATTGCAATATAAATATGTATATTCCTCATCTTTGTTAATAATTAAAAAAAACAAACAAAATTTTACTATTTTTACTATCTCCAGATATATTACAATAGGTATATCTTTATGGGACACCTTTATATATAAATACTATGTACTATAACTATCGAATGCAAATTAAAAATGATTGTTACAGTAAAATAAAATGCAAAATTAAAAAAAAAAAAAAAAAAAAAAAAAACAATAATATTATAATTTGACTGTATTATATAGTAATTTTTAATACATGATAATAACATTATTAATGTTATCTTATAGATAAAAGGCCAGACCCTTCTGTCTATCTGTGACGTTTTTTCTCTTGTATTCTTTGAACGTAAAGTGTGCAAGCCTTTAGGTGAAAATTGCAGTTTGAACACAAATAATACAATTTAAAGAAGAGAGTATTTTCGAAAGTGATTGTTCTCGGCGTTTTTCTAAAAATTTAATATACGATAAAGTTACAGCCATGGTAGATTATTAGTTTTTTCTTTTAAAGAGCTCAAACTTCTTTTCTTTTTTTTTAAAAAATTTTCTATGTAATATAATTATTTTCCGTTGCGTTAGTAAAACGGAGACAACACGTCCGGGATATGACACATACCCAATATACGCATTCACAATTAACAATTTATCCTTTGAAATGATTACGATTACAATGCAACTATGTGTCATAAAATGCACTAAGTTCCCTAAATTATAATTGCGCATCAAGAATATATTTCGATTGGACTAATTATTGTCAGTTGCTCTGCAATCGTTATTTAATATCATTTATATTTAAATCTATCTAAAAAAAAGTGCGCAGTTGCTATGCGTAATAATTTATTCGTTTCAATGTTATCGATGAAATAAAAATTTGGTATTATTAAAATTCGTATTTTCAAATTTGCAGTAATTGGATCATTGGAGCACTCTGATAATTTTAAACATTTCAATTTTCAATGGCCATTTAAGCCATCGTGTGTGACAGATACACTACATACAACTATACAATATTACTCAACTAGACAATGTATTTTATATTAACAATAATGCCATATAAGTTTTCAAGTTAGATCGAGTAATGAATCGTTCAGATTATATAACGTGATAAAATATAATATTTGTGTTTGGTATAAAATCATTTTTGCATAGAAATTAACTTTCTCAAACAATACAATTTTAACCAGAGGTGATCGGAAGCACAAGAACATGGTTTATTTAAAAAAAAAAAAAAATCGTTGTTGCCATTTTATTAATCGTATATAAGAAACTATAAGTATAATATTATTATTAATTGAAATCCTAAAAGATGAATATTAGGAGAGACCATATGATTCGACAAACATTGTGATTTCCATACGGTATACGTATTTTGCTTATTGTGGTTCGGTCAATATTATATTATGATCGCAGTCACCTAAAATAACTAAT